ACCTGGACATGGAAGAACAATCGACATGGAACTCCATGTAGATGTATACCCCAGCAGTCACCTGGAAAACGGGGGTGCGATCGGAGGAGCGCTTCCAGTCGGGGTGCCCCTGTCACATCCACGGCCCCGGAAGATGGGACGACCAAACACCACCCAGGCCCTCCATGTGACTCCATTCTGATCCAATCGTGTCTCATACCGCCGATCCGAAGCGTCGCTTCGCGCCCAAGGAGGTACGATCCGAAGGGCTCCGCTGGATCGACTCCGCGCCGCGGGCGCTCGCGCGGACCCGGTCGCGGAGCTGACTGGCGGGGACCTGACCCTGCAGCTGTTTTTGGTCAAGCGCAGTATATCCCACGACCACCAATGGTTGTTGTTCATCCCGAACGAAATCCCTTCAGGAATGAGCTAGGGTCCAACAGGTGCCCTGGTTTTGACCTCGTTCCAGTTGCATCTGAGTGTTGTGCATTCTCTCGTTCACGAACAATCCGGTTTGGAAACCTCCATGCCAAGAGGAAAATCAAAGAAAGAGGTCCTGGAATTTTGACCAAAAGACCCAGAACCAAGGACCCAGAATGGGTTTTCCATGCCACAAGGAAAACAGAAAAGAGAGCCGAATGCTGGAAAATACCCAAGAATACCCAAGACCCAGCACACTCTCTGAAACGATGATGGAAGTGGAAGCTGCGTTTGGATGACCCTTTTCCTTCATACCAAACAGCTCGGTGAACTTCCATGTGATCCTGCCCCGCCGCGGTATGTTTGGGTCGACGTCCTTATCCTTGTTATCCTTATCCGTGCTCTCGTCCATGGACTCATCGACCTCCAAACAGATCGAAGCGTCCACACACTGCTCGATTTCTCAACTGGGAAAGCTTTTCAAGCGCAAGCTGCAGAGCAGCACAGGAGTTCGATTAGCGCTGCTTCTTCAGTTTGTGAGTTGGTGTGGAGTCTTCAGTTTGTGACCTTGGAAAAAGGCCTACTGTAAGCCTCAAAGCAAGGTGATCAAGTTCGGTCACTTTGAAGAACCGTGCTTTCGGGTTCACATGTTACTCTTTCCGTTCTTCGTCTCCCAAACAGTTTCACCAACTCTGCAAGAGGCTTGAGTTCCAAGGACTCGCTCAAGGAACATCAAGGTTACTGTAAATTTGGAGTTGGACTTATTTGGATTCCATACGATATATTTATTCCAACTTTCGGGAAATCCTGGGCTTGGCAAGAAAACCTGGGACTTTCCGGAATTTGCTGTTGTGCAAAGAGCTGTAGCAACCATAAGTAGAGGAAGTAGAGAAGTCGTTCTTTTATGTGTTTTTATGTTTCTTTAATTCTTCGGGAGACATTCATTGATGTAAATTGACGGTGAGAATGGAGTAGTACCCGTCCAAGCTGGCTTCCAGATTCCGTCGAGCTTCGGTGAACTTCCGGTGGTCCCTGTGGTTCGAAGAAGTCGTGGAACCAGAAATCAGTTCGTCGGTCTTGCGGCGTGCCAGAGATTCAAGGAGTCTCGTAGAATGGATGAACCAAACCATGTTTGTTTTTCATCACACCGCTAGGTCCCGAAAGGACCAACCCGAGGTGTCCATGACTATGGAGTGAAGATGGGGAACCAGAAGTCTGACTCAGCTTCACTGCCGTGGTCTGGGTCTTCGGGTCGAAGCGGGAGATTTCCTCCGGGACTCCTAGGAGCCCCCCTCTCAACCCCATCTGCATTCCCCCCATCTGCAGTGGGTGGGTGGAAACCACTCTGACTCACCTGTGGAAGCGGGCCAGGCCCACCTGTCTGTAGAAGAAAATCGTCTTGAACCAGTAGGTCAGTTTCCGCTTCCATCTTGGTGAGTCGGAGGGTACCCCCAGTGCAAAACGCTGGCCTCGGCGCCTGCCACCCGCGGTCTTGTTTTGGTCTGGCAGTGGCGGAAGCAAGGAGGTCTGTGTGCTGAAAACGATGGAGTTGCATCCTGTGCTCCATCAAAACCTCTTGAAATGATCTTGGGATGTGTAGGGCGTGATATCGCTCAGTAGGTGCAATACTCTCTTCCGTATCTTCGGAAGAAGGGTTGCAATCCCATCTGATGCTTATTTACTCCTATTTGAGGGACTAAATCCAGGAAGAAATCGCCTGTGATGAAGATTCCGACCCAACCAGAAATCAAGCAGATCGTTGAGGAGAACTCTTCATCAACAGGATCGTGAGCCAACCAGAAAGTGTGTCACACTTGCAACGCGATACTCCTCGATTTGATCGTGTGTACATGTGTGTGTGTGTGTGCGTGCTTTTCTCTGCATGTGCTTGTGTTTTCATGTATATGTTTTCCCAGAACCCTTTTTCAAGGCACACGCTCTCCATTCTTTTCGGGGCAGGCACCACGGAAGATACAGGAAGCACCCCAAAAAATCTCCATGGATGGAGTCCCAGCTGCAGTGTTCTTCAGAATCTCTCCTCAGAACAGAGAATCTCTCTCAATCAGCCTTTCCTCTCGGGGGTCGGGGGGTCGGAGCTGAAACTTGGGACTCCAGAGTCCAGACCTGAACGAAGAAGGAAAGACAGTTCCATCCCAGGACCCGACTCGTTCGGGGTGTCTATTTGTAGCCCCTTAGCTGTGATTCGGGATGTCCATTAACCACCCCTTCAGAGGTCCTGGTTTGGGCTGTGTATTTAATAGGGGTCACCCCGATCGCCCATGGCTGGGTAGACAGGAAAAACATGTCCTGAAACCTTTCAGGTGGTCGGAACGCCTGGGGTCTCCCTATTCGAACTAGACCAGGGCCCCCAGGCCAGGGGTGTCCAATTATAGCTCCTTAGAGGTGATTCGGGATGTCCGGAAACCCCTGGGAGCCAGGGGGGCCCTGGTATATACCCATCTTGCCCACAGGCCCATATATGTCCAACTTCCTGCTCTGTCCCCACACATCACAAAGCTTTTGGGAACTCCGAGCTTGGCGACGACGTACTGCGCACATCCCTTCGGGCGAGACGGACGGTCCGTCGCTACGAGACGAATCAGAAAGCTGGTTCCAGCGGCCCTCATGGGTCAGTGGAACAAGAGCTGACTAGGGTTTAGGGTTTAGGGCATGGTCAGTGGAAGAAGAGCTGACTGTAACTGAATGTCCCCTGGTTAGATGCTGTGGCTGCGGTCCATTTTCCTATGGGGCAAGAGTTCGACCGGACCCATGGCTCCTCTTCCAGTCCGGCCCGGGCGTGGGACGTGAGTGGATGTGACAGGGGATGACAGGGGGACACCCCCCCGACGTTCATTCAAGAAATATTCAAGGCGGGTGTCGCTGTTCCATGACCAGGGGTACCCCCAACGTTCCTTTCAGATCCACGCCTTCAGGCTCAGGTTGCGATGAAGAGCGATCGGGGCGAAGAGCGGGCGAAGAGCGGGCGATCGGGGCGAAGCCGCTGGGGCGCCGCGCGACCATGCGTTTGGGAGGCATGGAAACGTTCGACCTGTTTGAGCTTCAGGTGAGAGGACGGAGATAGAGATGGGGAAGGAGGGCCCTAGGGTGGTGGTCCCATCTCCATTGGCTGTCCGTTGAAGCAAACTTCGGAGGGCTGATGGAGCCGCAATGTGGCATCATCTAGAGAATCCCAAGAAATATACCCTGGAACTACCATGGAAGTGGATGGTATGGTCACTTGGAAGACCCCTTTTTCTATACAAACAGGGTGTGAACTCCACGTAACCATTGTTAGTTGGGAGGAAAAAGAGGCCCTGACTTCCTGTTGCAATGTGTTCCGAACCCCGTGCTCCTCCACATCTCCTTAACAGGTCCAACACCCCCAAAAGGGACCGAGACCAGTCACCGGCCGCGCGAATCGACGCGATCGACACGTGTCGCTCGCTCTTTGAGGACGCCAGTGAGGACACTCGTCCGTGTGGCCAAATCGAAACAGCCTGCAGGAGGACACAACAAACGCGCCCGGCAAACACGTCGAAGTCGACGCGCCGCCGTACTATCGCTGTTTGAGGGGCTTCACACGATCGAAAAGAAGAGCCCAAAGAGCCCAAAGAAGGACAGAACAGTCGGAGTTTACTACCCTAGAAAATTGGGTAGGCCCCAAGATGTTCGCCACTCCCACTTTGAAAGGCTGAGTCAACTTATAATACATCAGGTGTTTCTGCAATCAAATTGGAATTCAGGGTCACCTAAACTACCCCTTGACACACACTTGTTGAAACACCATGAAACACCCATCTCTCCGCTTCTCCGCTTCACCTCCCGCGTTTCGATTGGACTCCCCAGCTTGGGCTCCCGCCGCGGCGCGCGCAGAACGCCCGGTGCGCCGGTGTGACGTGACGGTGCCAACGGTCCCCCCACACAGCTGCGCGGAGCGGACGTGAGTCACGGAGCGGGCGAGATGCGAGCTCGACGAGGATGCCGAGTGCCAGGTTCGGTGAAGCGAACTGCAGCGGCTTTTTTTCAGTTGAACTGGGGAAGATCCCCCATCCTCCAAAAAGGTTATCTTAAAGGTTGTCGATGGGGAACACATGCATAAAAAAACATGTAGAAACCTCGCAAGAGAAGCCTCGCTGCTAGTCTCCAGAAAAGTGGAGAATTGACTTCAGAATGAGATCGTTGGCTGTCCACAGTGTGGGTTCGTGAAAGGAGCATGACAGAAAAAAGAACTCTTGCGCAGTTGGGCCTCAGATAACTAGATTGGTTGCCGAAGCACTTTGCACCTCTTACGACCCCGAATCTTATCAAATGCTGAGAACAAATCTTTTAGTGTAGCCCATTCTCTGCAACAGTGCATGATCATGGTCAGTAAAGACCTTTCTCAGAAATATGCTGATCATACTTTACCAACTGTTACAGCTCATGGGACACACCTAAACAAATCTCGAAGTCACCATCCAATTCCGAATCGCCATTCGTCCTTCACATTCGCTCGTCGTGCCGGACTCACTCCCGTCACTGGTGCCCTTGGCACCGAAATCGCACCTCACACCCTCCCACACTCCACGCTCCGCATCGCTCCGCGCGGTTCCGCCGCCGTCCTCGACTCTTCCGCGGAACTGCACCGGAGTGGAGGACCGCACCCTGCGGGCCGCGGTGGACGGGCAGAAGTAGGATGTCCTAATTAAGGTACGTATACTTAATGTATTTAAGGTGGTTTACAACTGCATCGGGTCGGCGCGGATGTTCGAGGAATTCTGAGAGACTTCGTTCTTCAACCTGCTGAAGACATGCGAAACCAGCTCCCTTCGGACGGGCGATCTGCTGCCCCAGTGCTCCGAAGCCCACGAGTCGAGCCCTGCGCGCACGTAGCGCTGGCGACATCGTTTGCCGCGCACGTAGTGCTCAACTGAGCACATGGTTGGGATCTCCACCACAGCCTATTCACCCCGTGATGCTGTCTCAGGTGTTCAGAAACGATGGCTATATCTATAGGGTTTTCATGACCATGATCCTACAACCTGGACCTCAATCCGAGGATTGCCCGGTTTTGCAGTGGATGATCAACATCCAGCCAAGTATTTGTGTACGGAAATTGGGGATGTCCGAAATGGGCAGCAGTGCGTCCGATTGGACCATGGAAGTGGAGTTCACCACCGGTTTGTCGAAGAAAAGTGTCATCCAAGCGGCCATGTCCCACGTAACCATGAGAATGTCAGGGAATGTAGAAGACAGGAACAACGTTCTTGGCAAAATTGTTTGGATGCTCTATAATAATTGGTCAACAACAACAACAAGCTTCCACACAGCCACGCGAATTGGTCAATCGACAATCATCAACCACCCCCAAAAAAACAGAAAAAAGGGATCCGAACCACATGTAGCAGCACCCACCACTGCTTGGTCACCCACCACTGCTTTGGACCACAGGCCTTCGCGAGGAACACCGTGGCCGGGACGCTCTCTGAGCTGGCGCGCGGCGCGCGCGGCGCGCGCGGTCACGGGAGCCCCACCGTGGGCCGAAGCGAATCGGTTTGGAGTTGACCAAGTAGATTCCAAGTAGGATCTGACCATGTTAGATATGCTGCAACTCTTTTGGGGGGTGGAGTTTGAAGGGTCATCTTTTGGGGTGGTTTTCTATATATCGAAAAAGACCTGGGTAGGTCGTCGTCGAAAGAGTGGTGTTTTGTGTGTCAAACTGCCAGAGAGAGTTCACATGATTTCACACAGCGAACGTTACAGTCGTCCCTCACCTATTTGGTGTTGGATCACTACTACACAGAGCCTTTTGGCGACCTCAATTTTGGACCACCAACCATCAAAAACCATCAAAGATATGGTACTTTCCTATCAAAACAGAGGTCAATCAGGTTCTAGGAATGTTCCAAGAACGGGTTGAGCAAATGATTCTTTTCAAGTGAAGTGCTTTTACTGCTCAATATCAATAACAATCCACTTTGGCAGGCGGATCGGCAAGCGAATCCCTGACATGTTCTCTGATTTTCTCCACAGAAGCGAACGATTCCGTCGCCACATACCGCCACAGACATGACGCGGATCGTTCGATCGATGCGGCGTGACAAAGCACAACTTTTGATTCTTCGTCTGACAACATCAAGTACCAGCAGTCACATGTCGGGGTGCGATCCATGGAGGTTAGGGGTGCCCATGATCCACTCACTTGGGGACTAAACACCACCCCGACATGTGACTCCTGGTAGATTCATCAACCAGGGGTCAGCTTTTGAGTCCCATCCAGTGAGTGGGTGTGACAGGGGCCCCCCTAACCTCGATCGCACCCCAAAATGAAACTCCTGGAACAAACATCTTTCAACTGCAACAAATGACCATTCTCGTCTTTTTGCCCTGTGTGAGTGTGTCACTCCCCCTAGTTCTTCTTCTTCACTCTTTCAGAAGGCGAACGCAGAATCTTCTACCGATGTCTACCCATTCGACCTCAAGCAACCGTCCGAACCCTCGTCCCCGCGCTCGCCTGAGGACCCGCTGCGCCGCCAAGACGGCGCGGCGACGTGCCTGGAAGGACGGGGCACGTTCGCTGCACTGGGCTTCACTCTTCTTCACTGCATATCTCCGGAATGCTTGTTCCGGTTTTTTGCATGTGGTTTTAGCCCGCTGGTTCTCCCTTCAAGGAGTGAAGAGCCGAAGCGGGGCAGGACCCCAAACTCTTCCCTGAGCATTTCAGGAGGCTCTGTCAGGCTCGCCCTCTGAAGTACCTCCACTGATCACGAACAGACAGAATCGTTTGGTCCTGCTTGGTCCCCCTTCCAGCTGGCATTGCCAGAGACAGAATTGTTGGCACCCCATAAGTAAATCGTCACTTACCGGTCAACAACCAACATCTCAACCACGACACTCATGACGCCCATGGCTCACCAAGTGTATATATGCCATGTGGAATATGAGAAAGCTGGAGAAACACCCGCAGACTCAAATACAAGGCAATGACTCCAAAAGAAGGTTTCACGCCGCAGATCAGGGCTCTCGGGTCTGGTCTCCAGGCTCTCGCCTGTTAGACAGTTCGAAAATCTAACACCATGGATCTTCCAACTCTGCAACAGTGCCATTTTCATCCAAGAAATAGACAGCCAAATGGCAGGGCCCTACCAGGCTGTTACATGGTTGGATTCTGGTCCCCGCACCGACGTGTGCAACTGCCGCAGCGCGCAGCAGGCCTGGCGCGTCCACGGACCGGTGGGGACGGGTTCGCCGGGAAAGGCGTTCGGTGGGGAAGGACGATGGATTGAGTACCTGGACCTTCAAGGGGTGTCCTGTCTGGAGGTCCCTGATCGTGGTGGGCTGGGGCGAAACCAGCCAGGTGACCCCGACAGGTCCAGGTGCTGGTACACTCTTTCTCTGAAGCAAACGCCGCTAAGCCTGAGACTGGCGTGCCATTCTGTTCCAGAGCCAGCCGCTTCTGCCGCCAATTGGGTACATCTCATTCCCTGGGACCCGTGGATGATGGTTAGTGATGTTCTGGTTGACCGACTGATACAGGTAATGTGATGAAAAAGAGGTACTTGGTGAGTTCACTCTTTTTGCATCTTTTTCCTGTAAACATCCATCTCACAATTTCAAGCCTTTGAACCTTCCCTTTGAACCTTCCCCCCTTTGCAGAGCCCTCAAACCAGCCCTATGAAACGAGTCGGTAACACCATCTTTTTCACGCGAGTCTTGGGACAGTTGCTGGCACGTTTGTCACTCTTGGGACAGTTGTGAGTCTCATTCAGCCTGCATGTCACTCTGGGAAGCCTCACGTTACTCACGTTAAGTTCGATCTTCTTTCTCTGGAACACATGGCCAGTGGATGGCAATAATTCCCGTGACCCATGTTTCCTCTCCGGAACATGCCACCAGCTTCACCAGCTTCACGCCGGAGTAGATGGCATGTTCCTCTACCAGGACCCTCCAAGGGGTGCCCAATGGAAGCCTACATATATAGGTAGTGTGGGGTAGTCCAGCCAGGACACCCCGAGGGTCGGAGGGTCCTGGTAGAGGAACATGTTCCTCTACAAACAGGGTCCGGAGAGCTGCGTCTCCCATCATCTTGAACGGCTCCGCGGCGCGGCCGGAGCGTCGGCTGCCGGAAGGGGAGACCGCCCCGCCGGAAGCCCGGTGAGTCCGACCCCTTGAACTCCGAAAACAGCAGATGGGTGGGGTAGGATGTAGCTGGATGTAGGTATATATACCAGCACCCTCCGACAGGTCACCAATGGTGAGACCTGTTAGGGTCCAACAACCCTCAACTAACAGCCTGTTGGAGGGTGTTGGTATATATATATATAGATGAAATGACTTCATCCACGGAAGTCCAAATTCGGAAGTCCAACTCGAAGTTCCCTCCACCTACCTCCGACCTCGGCTTTTGCGACCCAAACCACCACGTTCTCTCCACCGCATCCGCACAAAACATGCGCCCATTGAGGTCTAGACCATGGTGTTGTTCTTTTTTTTGGGGGGGAGTCCACGAGCTGAACCAATCAAACTGAACATCGTTCTCCAACTGGTCATTGATCTAAACATCAAAACTATCAGGCGAGCGAGTTCCCCGTTCACCCGAGCGATCGCTCACATCGCATGGCTCGGCCTCTTCTCGACTGGCGGCCGGTGGCCTCGGTCGTGGGCCGCCGCAGGCAGACGAGGGTGGAAATAGCTTGGAGTTGCTGGTTTCGGAAGCCTGGGGAGAAAAAGAAAACAATCAAAAATGTCCCAGAACCAGGGGGATTTGACCAAGTTCGGTCAAACAAAAAATAACCTTATACGCAAAATCAGGAATTATATGTTGAGAAATGGTTCGATATGTTGAGAATTGGTTTTTCGGAATGGCCACCAACAAGCCGACAAAAACATGTCTTCCGTGATGTGTCATGGGCGGAAGAAAACCGGTTGATGTTGGGTCGTGATCTTCCCTTTTACACTTTGAAAGATCCGAACAAATGAGGGGTTTGGCTCGAGCCAGCGCCAGCGCCAGCTGCTCGTGGTTCCGGTGCGTGGTCGACCTCGGTGCCCGTGCCAGAAGGACAACTCCAAGTCGGTGAGCACCAGGACCTCCGCGTCCGCGGAAGACGTGACGGATGGAGGTCACGGCACGTGACGTGCTTCCATTGGGTGAACCAAGAGCGAATTCAAAGCGAATCCATTTGTGCACTTGACACGGCCTGATTCTTGGAGATGCATCGTGTAGAAGGTGCCCTCCGATGATCAATCAGTCTCTTCTAGCTTACCCATGTATGTGACGTCCTTTTTTCAGCATCGAACGCAAGACTCGGTTCTCTCCGGCCATACTCGAAAGCGAACGGACACCGAGAACGGATTCTTCCCTGACCCCGAACCAACCCGACACCGAGAAAAACCACTTCCGAATGGTTGCTCAGAGGGTCCATCGCGCCTGCATCACGTCGAGTAGGGTATCCTCATCTCCATCTCCTGAGCTCGAACAACTCCGTTCGCCCGGTACCCAGGGCCCACTCAAATGACTGCCCCACCAACAATCGCAAGACAGAAAATGACTGCCAGGAAGCGAAAAACACGAAAATACAGGAAAGAACACTCGTCGATCTGCTGTAGTCCTTTTTTTGGAATCCATCTGAAGCATTCCAATTCTCCATTCGAGGCCTCCAAGGGTCTCATCCTGTGGTCTCAGGGCTTCCATGAGTTCCACTCCCCCCCCCCTCCCCGCGTGCAGTTCCGAGCTCCCCGGCGAAGCAGCTGACCCTGGTCGCGGAGGCGGACGCGAGCGAGGCGGACGTGAGGGGATGGGAGATGGAAAGAGGTGGAAAGAGGAGAACGAAAGAGGTGACCCAGACACGACCTGTCACTGCCATAGGACTAGAATGCATACCCCATTGACCCCCCAAAATCAACCACCCCTGGCCGCCGCCCTGGCCTGATCGGCATATATGGCAGTCCCATGGAGTGTGTGGGTTATCTTTCGAAATGAGATTCTATCATGAGACTGTCAAGCCCCGAAATGTTCGGGCGTGTGGACCCAAGCAAAAGCTTGAGAACAGTCTTTGGCTGGGGTTCCGGTCCTATTTTCAAGGGACTCGCAGACTCCAGGTGCACAGAACCCTGACAAACCAGTTGAAAATGGTCAGCAAAACCCCCCGCGCGACCAGTCGACTTGATGGTCAAAATGCATTCTTTTGGGATGGCTCAGCATTTGGAGAACTTAAACGGGGAACAGTGGGACAATGTTCAAAAGAACTCCTGAGGTGGCCACGGATCCCTTTTGCAACTTCTGGTTTACCATTCAGGAATCCGTACTCTTGGCATGTACACAAAACGGAAAACGTTTCACATCCCGCAATGGCTTCGCAGAAATCCTTGCATCTATGGGGTTCGTCTGTCTCCAGGTCAGAAGACTGAGGCGATCTTGTTACTTTCACAGACCAGTCACAAGACGGGGTGCTTCCTGGAGGGTACGGGTGCCCAGGGACCAAACACCACCCCGACATGTGGAACCCCTTTCGACCGAATGGACCGGAGGCCCCAAACGCTGTGCTGTCCATCGGACGTGCTGTGAGCCGGCTCACCAGGGCAGTCGGGCGCCATGGCACCTCCTTGACCTCGAGGTCCAATTCACAAACCTCGGCTGAACAACGCTGAAAAGGCTTAAAGCTTCACATTGAACAGTTGTTTGGGCTGCTTCACATGCAAAAAGATGTATAACGTGTTCATGGATTTCATCCCTCCTTCCGGTCCCTACGCGCCCCAAAAAGTGGTTCTTCAAGACCAGACCGGTGGTGGACCGGTATGGCTCAGTCCGGTCCTGCGACTCGGCGACTCATGTGTCGAACGAAGAAGCGCCACGGTGCGCCACGGACGGCCTTGTTTCTCCGGGAAAGCGCTGTGATCACTTCCGGGCGGGGCCCTCGCAGCCCCGAGACTCGTCATCCTGACGAAGGACAGGAGTGGAAGGACAGGAGAACTGAGATTGTCCTAAGGCTAATAGGGGGCTATATATGCTATATATAGGTTCCACTTCTTCAAGTAACCAAATGGCCAGTATCTGGAAAATGTCAGAAAGGACTTTGAGCGGCAAAAAGGAAGGGAGGACAGGAAGGACTTTTGGGGGGGTAAGAAAAAGGACCCCCCTACCAGCACTGGACTCTACAAGTCACCACCTGCCACCAGACGAGACCTGTTGGAGGGTATAGGTTTTAGGACTGATCTGGGAGATCTCCTTCCTCCACGCCATCGACCACTTGGCCCTACTCTGACAGATGCAGATTCAAACATGTGGCTCAAACATGTGCAACTCAAATTCATACAGAAAAGTCCAACACAAAAGTTGCGCTTCTTGACGTTCAAACTCTTTGCACATTCCCCTTGTTCAGATACCCCCGCTCGTTCATCCTGAAACCGGCGTCGAAACCGAAACGTGGTTTCCGGTGAAGAACCTCACGCCGACCGTCCCATATAGACTTGTCAATTCGATCCGCAGCTGACCTAGTCTTGAAGACGGTCATATATAACAAAATAGAACGTCTGCAGTCTAGTCATGTATAGTCCAAGACCCTTCGCTATTTGCTTTCCCTCGACCCTTCGCACACCTTTGGACTCGAGATCCACACCATTCCGCCGCGTTCCCCCGCGGGTCCACGCGATGCCCGCGCCGACGCCTTTCCGACGCTTGGACTTGGCGGTGGGCTTCGGCCTCGCGGCCTTCTTGGCATCCTGACCGGTCGCCGGCGCAGTGCTGCTACGGTACAAGCTGTGCCCAGGATTCCAAGCACGAATGGATTTATATGGTTCTTACCGCAGAAGCATGGTTTTCTTAGGGAGTTTAGACTACAACAGGTCAACCTGCTTAGGGTGTGAAAGGCAGGGCATCCGCAGCACTCACCCAGGAATTTTCAACAACCTGGGACCACCTGGTTTGAGGCGAGGGAAAATGAACAATGTTCTTCAGGGGGTGTTGTGGAGGTCCTGTAAAACAAACAAACACATGATGGATCTGTCTGTGAAAGGTGTGCTCCATGGTGCGTCTGTTTGAGGTAGGAACTTCTCTCCCAGCAACAAATGCAATTTGAAGCCATTTGTCAGTTTGTGTGTGTGTGTGTGTTAGCTTAAGTGATGTTCTGTGCCCTGTTGGAACATGTTGGAACTCTACAAAACCTGCACTGAAATTAAAAAAAAAATGCGGACGACGTGACGACGCAGGGAGGAGATTGAAATCATCTCGCATCATCTCGCATCCAGTTTCCAAGAGCCCAAAAAAGAACAACTGCAGAGTTCTTTTGGACAACTCCTTGATTGCTTCATCCACAGAGAATTCCCGCGGATTCCACCTGGGTGGTGCTCCTGTTGAGTTCTACAACATGCCCGGTACAAATTTGTTAGGATTGCATGGGCATGAACTGGCATGAACCGGACATCGATGAAACTTCAAGCTGAGCAGTCCGCTTCCTGGACGACCTGTTCCCCGTTGATTGGAAAGGGGCTTCCAAGAGAGTGTATCTCAAGCTCTTCCTTCCTTCCTTCCTTCCTTTTCCATGGCTCTCTTTCTTTTCTCGATCCGCCAACGACGCCTCGATCCGCCCGTCCACCAAACGGGCGGCCGCGTCCTCCAACTCTGCGTCGGGCTCGTCCACGCGCGACAGGTCCTCGGTCGAGTGACCGCCGGTGAGAAATCGTCGACCCCCTCCACATGAACAGATGGATCCCTGGTGAAACTCGATGAAAAGCCCATCTGACCGTCCAAAGTCTTCGGTTCGTGGTTTTCAGGGTCGCTCGCGTGGTTCGTGGCGTGAGAACCACTTCATATCCGTGGGTTGTGAAATGTGGGGGGGTATGTCCCAGCCTCTGATTCTACAGGTCATCCATAACGTCGAAGTTGGTCCTCAGGGCCAGGGCCCTTGAAAAAAATCCTCGACATAGCAAAAGACGCAGTGAGGATGCTGGTCGTCCAAGAATGGGAAGTCAACCAGATTCTGCAGGTGAAAACAAGATTCCTAGCGCTTCCAATGGGTGTCCAATGGTGATCTATAAGCAGTGAAGGGTTGTCCATTGGTAACCCCTTGGAAGCAGCTGGTTTGCACCTGTTCCAAACACCAAAATTGAAACGAACATGGACCGCAGCGACCGCAGCTCGCAGCTCTGGACCGCAGCTCGGAATCGCGCCTTCGTGGCCGTCCAACGAGCAAAGTTTTGAGTGAAACGCTCCTCGGCGGGAGGTCGAACACAAATGATGTGGGTGTATATATAAAGCAACAACAACAACAACAACAACACCAACACACCTCCCAGGCGTCCCAGGATTCCTGGAAAGTAGACTAACATCTACCCGTCTCCCCTTGGGCGATCGGGGATGAATCTTGACTCAAGTACACACCCCAATGACCTGAGTGAACCCCGCCGCCATTGGACCCCGACTCGGAACAAGTCATTTGGGACCCCGACGGGATCGGAGGCTTTTTTTAGAGAGTTGGTTTGGTTCTGAAAGCTGTTAGAGACTTGGACGAACGTCCGACACACCCAGAACGTTCGTAACTTGACTCAAGGGGCACACTCCACCTCGTAGTCATCATCCACCACTATGGTGAAATAGGGGCAAATATGAGTCATTTGGACTATCAGGGATATGTATATACAGGCTTTGAGGCTCACGGTTGAGAACATCTAGATGTCATAGAGTTTGACCAGGCATCAAGTGAGCTACCGAAATCGCTGTGGAGGTTGAAATGAAGGTGGACATCATCATCATCATCATCATCATCATCATCATCATCATCATCATCA